ACTCCAGAGGTTTGGGGGATTCTTTTCCAGTGCTCTGGGACTTCACAAATGAATCCCTGTGGGGCATTCTCAGATCTGCTCTGCCTGTACTCACCCTGCACCACATCTCCCCTCCGACCACTGCACCATTCATGGAGGGGGTACTGGGGCTTTGCTGCTTCCCTAGGCCCAGCAAAGCAGTGGGACTCAGACTTCTCTGGTGGCTGCATCATCCCCCACCCCACCCCCACCTGCAGTAGTATTTACCAGCTGCTCAGGGTGGGGAGGGAAGACAAGGAACACACTCACTTCACAGTTCCACACTGGTATCAAACTCTGTGTTTCTCCCTCAGATTCTCCCAAGCTAGTGCCCAGTGAAAATATTTTTTCTTGTCTAGAGCAAGAAAATGGGCCGTTTTGATCCTCTTCTGAGTCCTATTTATCTTATATATTCACCTCAACTTTTTAAAAGATGAAAATTGACTCTCCATTTTCTTTGCATTTTTGGCTAAACTAACAGGGGAGTAGAAAAATATTGAGGAAAAAACAGATTAATAATTCAAAAGTTTATTGAGATATCTGCATCCAAATGGGCTAAGGTAACTGGTGGTTTCTATGCAGAACAGCTACAATGGTTGACAAAACACATAACTAACCTGTATTAAACCAAATCCTCCAAGAAGCAGACATCAAGAGATGACAGAACTTCAGTGACTTTACTGGGGAAAGTGCCTTGTGAAAGAAAACAGAGGGAGCTTGAAAAAGGCAGCTGTAAAAGGAAGAGTCATCAGAGCATGATGCAAGAGTCTAATGGCAAGTGAAGGAAAATGGGAAAGGAGAGATGTCCTAGGCTGTGGTGCAGCCTAAGGAAGTCCAGGTAAAACCTTCAGGGAGGCCCCCAGTGTAAGTCAGCTGGTGGAAGTCCTGTGTCTCCCAGGACCAGGTTGGCCTTATAGACTTGGGACCCACAGTCACTGGCTAAGAGAAACCCACTGAAGGTGTGGCCTCAGCACAAAGGCAGTGATTGATTTCAGAGCTCAGCAACTGGGGATCTTGATCAATTATGCTCCCAATAATTGGATGTTTGTGAGGTTCACTCTCATGCCCATCATATCACCTATTTGGAAGCAGTAGAGAGTTTCTAAGGCAATGAGAATTAGAAGGCTAAGATTCCAGGAAAGAAAGAACTTTAGAGAGATAAGCTGGCTGACACTGGCTGCTGTTACTCTGGGGGCTTTTCCAATTCTGGGTACAGAAAGGAGGCTAATAATCGGATGTAAAGTTAAGTGAAAAACTAGATAAAGGGCCACTGCAGTAGTACATAAAATCCAGCCCAGAGTTCTGGTGGACATTTGGGAGTACTCAAGAAAATGGGACTGTTTCCTCTCAACAGTGGCTGAATTCTGGGGCTACACAGAATGTAAGCTAAAAAGTATAGGTGGGAACTTGAAAAACACAGTCTCATGACACAAAAGTTTGCATTCCAGGCCTTCCAAGAAAAGGGGAGTTGTAGGATATACTTGGATCTTAGAGGAAATTTAAAAAAACTTGACAGATCAGAGATTAACCAAAGTAGACTGAGCCTTACCACAGCCTACTAGGACTACAACCCGCCATAAACTCAATACAGACACTGGTTGCATTGAAGTAATCAGATATGGCTCTATAGTCCCATCAGAGGAAAGAGTTAAATCCTATGTAGAGGAGGATAAAACCATTTGGGGTATCTAAATTCAGAAATTACTAGGTACACCAAAAGAAATAACCAAATTACTAAAAACCAAGAGAAAAACCCCTCAACAATAGAAACGTACCCACAGGATCCAGATATAAAAATTAGCTGGCAAATGGCATAAGATAATTATGATTAACATCATAGTTAATTAATAACATTAATTTTTATGAGAATAAAAATGAATAGATATGAGACAATTTTAACATAGAACCACAGTATAAAAAATAATAATTGGATGTTCTTTAACTAATTAAGATAATCTTTAAAATTAAGAACTCATTAGTTGGATTTAACTACAGATTTAACATGGCAGAATACAGGACTGTTGACCTGCACTGGAAGATAGATTAATGGAAAATATCCCAAACTGAAGCATGGAAAGGAAAAAAGGATGGAAATTGGTGGTCTGAAAGGAGAGGGAAAAAATGAATGGACAGAAGGAATATTTCAACACATAATGGCAGAGAATTTTCTAAAACTGATGAAAGATGTCAGCAGACATATTCGAGATGTTCTACAGAAATAAAAAGAAAACCATAACAAGGTATCACAGTAACATTAACGAAAGTTAAAGATATAGAGAAAATCTTACAATCAGTTGAGAAGGAAAACCAAATTTCCTTCAAAAGACCAACAGAAAAATTAACAAGTGACTTGTCAACAGAAAACATGAATACTAGAGCCAATAGAAAGAAAAATCTTTAATGTTCTTAGGGAAAATACTGCTAACCTAGAATTTTAAACTCAAGGGGAAAATATTCTTCAGAGATAAAGGTGAAATAAAGACTTTTTCATGCAAATAAAACCAGGGAAAATTAGTTGCAAAACTTCACTTAAATATTTAAAAGATTTCTTCAGGCTAAAGGAAAACTATCCCAGAGAGAAACATGGAATTGTAATGAAAAATAAGGCCCAATGGAAAATGTCAATGTACAAGTAAGAATAAAAGAACTTTAATTAAAAATCAATTGTCCCTGTAATCCCAGAGATTTGGGAGCCCAAGGCTGGTGGATCACTTGAGGCCGGCAGTTCAAGACTAGCCTGGCCAACATTGGGAAACCCCATCTCTACTAAAAATACAAAAATTAGACAGGCGTAGTAGTGCATGCCTGTAATTTCAGCTATTCTGGAGGCTGAGGCACAAGAACTGCTTAAATCTGGGAGGCAGAGTTTGATGTAAGCTGAGATTGCACCACTGCAATCTAGCCTGAGTGATGAAGTGAGTGACACTCTATCTTAAAAAGGCAAGAAAATGGATTTGTACAAAACAATCATAGTAATGTCATGTGGTTTTTAAAATATGCATACAATAAATATATTTGTAGTTTTGTATGACCACCCTAATGCAAAAGATGCAGGAAGTAAGTGGAATTAAAATGGTCTAAGGTTCTAGTACTATTAAAGAAATGATGAAAGTAATCATTCATTTTAGACTGGAATAAGACAATATTCATGTTGTAATCTCTAGGGTATCTATTAAAAGAATAATAAAAGAATGTTCAATTAACAAGTTATGAGAAGAAAAATAAAATGATAAAAAGTATTTTATCACTCTAAAAGAATCCAAAAATGTGAGAAAAAGAAACAGAATAGGTGGGTTATGTTTATGTTATTTTCAACATAAGATGATAGAAACCCAAATATATCCATAATTAAATTCAATGTAAATGAATGAAGTGTTTCAATCAAAAGACCAGAATTGCCAAATTGAATTTTTAAAAATAACTTTATGCCACTTACATGAGTCACACGCAAAATCTAAGCACACACGAGAGTGAAAGAAAAACGTTGAGAAAAGATAAGTCAGGCAAACAATAACCAGAAGAAAGTTAGTGCTATGGTCTGAATGTTTGCGGAGACTGCTTGCCCCCCCCATGTGAGGACACACAAAAAAAGATGCCATCTTTGAAACAGAGGGGAAGCCTTCACCAGACACCAAATATGCTGGGGTCTTGGTCTTGGATTTCCCAGAATCCTGAAGTGTGAGCAATTAATTTCTGTTGATTACCCAGTTTAAGGTATTATGCACAGCAGCCCAAATGAATTAAGACAGGTGATGTACTTATACTAATATCAACATAGACTTTAAGGCATGAAGTCTGCAGATAAAGAGGGACATTTCATAATGATGTAACTATCATAGTTCTAAATATATATAACATACCTTCAAACATATAAAGCTTATAAAGCAAAAAATTTACAAAACTAAAGAGAAGTAGGTAAATACAAAATTATAGTGTGAGATTTTATCACAATTCTCTCAAGAGTTTACAGAAGGAAAAAAAAGACTAAAAAATGCACTGTAAATATATAAGATGTGACTAACAAAGTTAACCAATTTGGCCTAATTGAAATATATGAAATACGATCCTCAACAATTTCAGATACAGGGCTTTTAAAAATTCAAACATAGAAGAAATATTTACCAAAAGGGACCATATTTTAGGTTATAAAGCAAGCCTTATCACAACTCAAAATACTGAAATCATTCAGAATAAAGAACCAGTGAGTCACAAGAGAAATTGCAAATAAAATAAAATATTTTAAACTAAATGATGATACAGATCCAACAGATAAAATCTTGTGGGATGAAGCTAAAACAATAGTTAGAGGGAAATTTATAGACCACTTCATATATGAGAAAGACAAATTAATAAAAATAAATAAGATGTCAACTAAAAAATCTAGAAAAATAAGCCTAGCAAGTCAAACCACAAAGAAAAAAACAATGCACAAGAGAAAAATTCAAGGTACTTGAAAATAAATGTTTTAAAAAGTTAATATAGCCAATAATTGTTTCCTTGAAATAACATATCAGAAAGGAGAGAAAACCAAAATTATAAATGTCAGATTAAAATGTTATAAAAGATAAAATATCATGAACATGCTATACAAATAAATTTTATTATTTAAAGTTGGAAAACTCTTTGAAATACACAACTTACCTAATATTTCACAAGAAGAAATAATAAATCTGAATACTTGTGTATTAAAGAAATTCAATCCATTAACATTTTCCCCAAAAAAGAAACCCCAAGCCCAGATGGCTTCACTGCTGAATGTTTTCAAATATTCAGGAAGTAAGAAATACAAACCTTTCACAAAATCTTCCAAAAAATAGAAAAAGAGGTAAAACTTTCCAAATTGTTCATTGAGGGCAGCATTACCTTTGTGCCAAAACCTGACAAAGATATTACGGGAAATGAAAATTTCAGCACCAATCTCTTTCATACATTTAGATTCCAAAATCTTAAACAAAATATTAGCTAAGAGTATCTCAGACTCGTGCGTGAGGCGAGTGGAACCGGAGACGAGACCAGAGGCCGAACTCGGGTTCTGACAAGATGGCCAGGCTGCCCTGCAGGATCATCAAGGAAACCCAGCGTTTGCTGGCAGAACCAGTTCCTGGCATCAAAGCAGAACCAGATGAGAGCAACGCCCGTTACTTTCATGTGGTCATCGCTGGCCCTCAGGATTCCCCCTTTGAGGGGGGGACTTTTAAACTTGAACTATTCCTTCCAGAAGAATACCCAATGGCAGCCCCTAAAGTATGTTTCATGACCAAAATTTATCATCCTAATGCAGACAAGATGGGAAGAATATGTTTAGATATTTTGGAAGATAAGTGGTCCCCAGCACTGCAGATCCGCACAGTTCTGCTATCGATCCGGGCCTTGTTAAGTGCTCCTAATCCAGATGATCCATTAGCAAATGATGTAGCGGAGCAGCGGAAGACCAACGAAGCCCAAGCCATAGAAACAGCTAGAGCATGGACTAGGCTATATGCCATGAATAATATTTAAACTGATCCGATCATCAAGTGTGCATCACTTCTCCTGTTCTGCCAAGACTTCTTCCTTTTTGTTTGCATTTAATGGACGCAGTCTTAGAAACATTACAGAATAAAAAAGCCCAGACATCTTCAGTCCTTTGGTGATTAAATGCACATTAGCAAATCTATGTCTTGTCCTGATTCACTGTCGTAAAGCATGAGCAGAGGCTAGAAGTATCATCCGGATTGTTGTGAAAGGTTTAAAAGCAGCGGCCCCTTCCTGCTTTTACTCATTTCCCCCATCCTGGTTTAAGTATAAAGCACTGTGAATGAAGGTAGTTGTCAGGTTAGCTGCAGGGGTGTGGGTGTTTTTCTTTATTTTTTTTGAGGGGGAAGGTAGTTTTATTTTAATTTTATGGGCTCCTTTCCCCCTTTTACGGTGATCTAATTGCATTGGTTAAAAGCAGCTAACCAGTTATTTAGAGTATGCTCCCTAGCCAAGTCTAACTTTATTTAGACGCTGTAGATGGACGAGCTTGATTGTTTGAACCAAAGTGGGAACATTAAACAAACAATCACAGCCCTCACTAATAACATTGTGACTTTGCTGTCTAGTGTAGATTCCCCCCTTCAGAAAAAGCTTGTGACTATTTTGTATGGCTTGTCTGGAAACTTCTGTAAATCTTATGTTTTAGTAAAATATTTTTTGTTATTCTAAAAAAAAAAAAAAAAAAAGAGTATCTCAAACATATAAAAATGGTAATATTTCATAGGACTACATAAAGTTTATTCATGGATGCTAGGTTGAATTAACATTAAATAACAATGTAGTTCATCACTACAGAATAAAGGAGAAAAATCACATGATATCCCAAAAGAGGCAGAGAAAAGTATCTGATAAAATTTGGTGCACATGCGCGAGTGCACGCCCGCACAAACACACACACACACACACACACACGTATACACACACCACATTATCCCATTTACATAACATTCTCTAAAATATAACAACTAGGTTTTTGAAGAACAGACCAGCAGTTTCCAGAGTTTAGGAGTTGGGATGAGTATGACTGTAAAAAGATAACATGAAGGAGTCTTTGAGGTGTTGATACTGTTTTGTATGTTTATTGCAAAAGGAGTTTTTATATTAATCTATGAATGTTGAAGTCCATAATTCTGTATACCAAAAGAAAAAGTCAATTTTACTGATGATAATGTTTTAATTTTTGAAAATTTTAATAGATAAATTGTCTGGTATGTGAATCATATCTCAAGCTGTGTTTAAGAGCTTTTGAAAATTCAACACTCATTTATGAAAAATATTATTAGCAAACTAGTAACATGAGGTATGCTCTTAGTCTTATAAAGATTCCCTACAAAATCCACAACAAAAACATCATATTTAACGATAAATTATTAAAATTTCTTCCTTGAGATTAGAAACAAGATACAGGTGTCTATTATTGTTATTTTATTAACTTTGTACCAGAATTTCTGGCCGGTAAAATAAGTCAGAAAAAAAAAACTAAATGAGAATTAGAAATGAAAAAGTACATATATCGGGAATATACAAATGAATCAGCACAAGCTATTAGAATGAATGGACTTCACTATATAGTTAGATATGAAGTACACACACAAAAATCAATTGCATTTCCATGTATGAGAAAAAAAGTGATAGAAAATTGGATTTTTAATACTACCATTTATGAGGACATCACAAGATTTGAATGCTAAGAATATTTTAAAACTATCAAAAAATCTACACTAAAATTCCAAAATCATACTTAGATACATTAAATAAGAACTAAAAATCTGGAGAGACATATCAACTTCATAAGGCAGAAATCTCAATATTTTAAAGATATCAATTGTTCTATAATGACATATATTTAAGATAGTCTCAATCAAAATTTCAATAGAGTTTTTGTGAACACTGATAAGCTGAATCTAAAATATATATGGAAATGCAAAGGGCCAAGAATAACCAAAGTAAATTCTAAAGGAGAAGAACTAAGTTTGGGAACTTATGTTCCCTGATACTAAATCATATTATAAAATTATATTAATTAAGATAGTACTGTATTGTCACAAAGATAGATAAATAGATCAATGAAAAAGAACATAATTCAGAACCAGATCCACATACATAAATAGGCCTAATTTGTTACACTATTATGCAATGAGAAAAGAAAGAGCTTTTCAGTAAATTGTGTGGGGTCAATTGGATATGTATATGCCAAAAAAGGTGATATCGATTTTAAAGATAAAGCTTTCAGAAGAAAACATACAATATTTTTATGATTCGGAGGTAGAAAAAATATATTTTAAAATTATACACAAAGTCCTAAAAATCAATGAGAAGACTGATTCATTTGGGCTGCACTAAAATTTAAAACTTCTGCTAAATCAATAGACACTATTAAAAGAACAAAAAAGCAAACTACAGAGTGGGAGAGGATATATGCAATCCACATATCTGTGCGAGGACTTATTTCCAGATTATACAAAGAATATCTCCAAATCAATAAGAAAAAAAAACACAATTGAAAAATGGGCAAACACCTTGAACAGGCACCTCACAAAAAAGATATTCAAATGGCTAAGAAGCATATGAAATGTGCTCAATTTCACCAGTCAATTGAGAAAGGCAAATTAACACCACAATAGTATACAATACCCATCCAATGAAACAGCTAAAATAAAAAAGACAACATGATAAATGTAGATCAACTGGAACACTCATACACTGCTCATGGGAAATAAACTGTTACCATCAACTTGGAAAAGTGTTTGGCTCTGTCTTTTAAACCTGAACATAGACAACTGTTATATTGTATGATTGCCAATTTTATTCCAAATTAAATATTCAAAAGAGATGCCTACATATTTTTTACTAAAGATAGATACTATTCATGGCGGCACTTTTCATAATGACCCCAAAAGTTTAACAATCCAAATATCTACCAATAATATAACAGATAAATTGATACATACATACAATGTAATCTGTTGCCACATTAAAAGTGAATAATCTACAGCTAAATAGAACAACATGCATGAATCTTGCAAAAGTAATGTTGGGTAAAGGAAAAAACAAGAATATTGCTGTGGTCTGAGTTTGTTCCCCCAAAATTCACATGTTAGAAAGTAAATCCCCAAAGCAAGAGTACTGAGAGGTTGGACCTAATGGGAGTTGTTTAGGTCATGGAGACTCTACCCTTGCGAATGATTAATGCTGCCATAAAAAGGGCTTGTGGAAGTGGGCTGCACTCTCTATCTTCTGCTCTTGTGCCATATGAAAACAGCCTCCCTGGAGGATGAAGCAATGAGGTTCCATCTTGGAACCAGAGACTGAATCTGCTGGCACACTGATCTTGGACTTCCCATACTGCAGAACCATGAGAGAATACATTTGTGTTCTGTATAAATTACCCAGTCTCAGGTATTCTGATACAGTAGCATAAAATGGACCAAGACAAATACTGTGGTGGTTTCAGGTCCATATAATTCTTTGGCATACCCTTCAAAAAGTAGGACCTAAGTCCTCTGCTTAAGTATGAGCTGGACTAACAAACAGAAGGAAAGTGCAAGTGACAGTTCAACACATTGGAGACTGGATCATAAAAGACACTGAAAATCCCTCTTCTTACTCTCTTGAATTGTTTATGCTGAGATCAGCCAGCTGCCATGTTACCAGCCGTCTTATGTGCACATAACAAGAAACTGAGGCCTCCAGCCAACAGCCATATAAGCTAAGCTTTTCAGAGTATTTCTTCCAGCCCCAGGTAAGCCTTCAGATGACTCCAGTTCTGGTGGACATCTTGACCTTATGGACCCCAAGCCAGGACTGTCCAGCTAAGCTGCTCCTGAATTCCTGACCCTCAAAAACTGTGAGATAGTTAATGTCATATTAAACTACCAGGTTTGGGGGAGTAATTTGTCACACAGCAACAGATAATTAATATGATACATACTACATTATTGCATCTATAAATTCCCAAAACAGGCAAAACAAATCAATGGCCCATGAAGTCAGGACGATGGTTATAATTGTGAATAAGCAGTGATGGGATGGGGACGTGAAAAACCAGCTCCAAAGACGGCCATCATCACTCTCCCATTTCCTGTACACACACAGTGCCCCCTTCCTTGGGCTGGCTTTGTGACTTGCTCCGACTGGATACTGCATCAGAAAGGATACTGTGCCAATCCTGAGCCTGCCAGAGGCCTAGAAGCTTCCACTTTTTTAATCTATGGAAAAGATAGCTGTCATACTGTTATGAAGCTAGTGCATTGAATAATGAGGACCTGCAAGTAGAAAAGGAGGCCACATAGAGAAGTACTGAGGCACCAGACATCTGCACAAAGCCTTCTCCGGTGTATATAGCAGTGGAGATTAGCTGCTAACTGAATGCAGCTGGTTGATTTACCCAAACAATGCTAGATACAGCAGCAGAACAGATCGACTGAGACCCGACCACATTCTTGACCCACAGAAGAGTAAGTATAAATAAATTGTGTTTGTTTTAAGCCACAGAGTTTTGAGGTGGTTTGTTATGCAGCAATAGATAAGTAAAACAGGACCTAATGGGGTTTACAGGGTTCAGGTTTAAGTGGTTTTCCACTTCTTAGTCATGTGTTCATCTTATGAAAATACACAGATCTGTACACTGTATCCACTGATGCACTTTTCTGTATGTTAAACTTCAGTTAAAAAAACCTCCAAAAACTATCAATCTGCTTATTTATTTACCCATTCATTTATTCATTCATTCACTTAGTATCCTGGCACTCAGACGTTCAAAGTCCTGCGAAGAAGTATTTCAAAATATAGACAGTAGAAAGAGGGCAAGAAGGAAGTGAAATTTACAATAAATCATAAAGGTTAAACATGAGTTTGTTAGGTGAAGGGGAGAATGGAACATTCTGCATGGAGCCCTGTACAAGAGCATCTTGTACAAGAGCCCTGAGGTAGAACAGATTTCATTCTATTCAAGACATCAGGAAAGGTCCACATGAATAGATAGGGCAGAAAGGTGAACACCAGAGTGACCAACCATCCCAGTTTGCCCAGGATTGTCCCAGTTTTAGCAGAGAAAGTTCCATGTCCCAGGAAACCCCTCAGTTTCCAGCAAACAGGGGCAATTGGTCTCCCTAGAGGCTGGAGATGCTGACAGGGCCATAACAGCAAAGGCTGAACATGCTGTGTCTTCTAGACTATAGAAAGGATGTTGGTCTTTATTCTAGGAGCTGAGGATTTAAGCAGACAATGGGATGGTGGTATTATTTCTCCCTTCAAAGAACTAATTTGGATGACTGCTTGGTTGGTTTCATTGATTATATGTGAACTTGATACTCTCCTATCCACCCCTCAGTTAACTGGTGAAAACGCACACTGATATCACAGACATATCTCTGGCCATAGTTGCTGCCTGTAACATCAATAATATGGGGGTTGTTATGAGGAACCCAGAGTCATTACTGTCTACCCCCACAACATTTATCTGCCCCCAAACATTTACCCGTCACCTCCCATTACCTCTTTCAACTGCTTTTCCAATTACAAGATGGGTTTGGTTGACACCAGGCCAGTGACAGCCCTCAGGGACCATTCCAACTGCTTCTCACTAAGGGTCAGCAAAATCCTCTTTGTAAATATCTTAGAAGTAGGAGTTTTCCAAAAACCTCTTTTACTAAGAAACTCAGCAAACCAAAAACAAAC